AATGCAAGCTGCTGTGGGGCCTTGGGCCTTCTTTTGGAAGTTCTGGGTCTCTCTGACCCAGCTTCAGTTTGTTAGGTAATTTTCAGATTGCAAAGGGCCAGGCCTTTCATATGCAAAAGCCTCTGAGCACAACTTGGGTGGGGAGGGATCTCAGGGGATCAACAGGGCAGAGCAAGCAGCTATGGCTGCTCCTCAGTCCTACCCTAAGAGGCCCCTCATCTCAGTGTCCCAGTAATTGCTGCAAGCAGCCCTGAGAGAAAGCTGCCCTCGAGTTCCGCCTGCTGCCAGACAGTCCAGTTTTTCCCCGTATGAGTCTGGGTCCCCAGAACTGGATTTCAGAGCAGTCGGGAGCTTGAGACTCCCTCCCAATTGAAAAAGACAACCGTGTCCTCAGTTGCCAGCCCTTTCCACGTGCGCCTCCGTACCTCTGCATTTTACTTCCACACCTCCTCTGAGTCTCAGTGTGCTTTTCTTTCCTTCTAGTTGTAGAATTTCCACTCAGCCAGCCTTCCTGTGGTTCTGGATGATGTCCGTTTTGTCTTTTAGTTGTATTTTGAAGTGGTTGTGGGAGGCAGCAATTTCCGGTGTTTACCTATGCCCCCATCTTGGTTTCTCCTCTGGATTTTTTTTTTTTTTTTTTTTACTTTTGTTGCAGCTAATGAGATGGCAGAGGCGAGGCAGGCAGCTACTTTCTTCATGTTCTCTAAAATAAATAGAGTCCATAGACTCTTTTGTTACATGGTTTCAGGACTTTGTCCTCAGATCTGCAGGTTGAGAAGTTGAATCTTATCATTGTAACCAAACCTGGCCTGACAAGCAAACTCAAATGACTCATTTGTAAAATGTAATTGCAATTATTTAATTGGCAACGAGAAAGATAATTGCCATTGCTACTGGTAATAGTGAGCTCTTTAGATGACTCTTATGAGATTGCTTGGTGAATATAATCAGACTAGAAAGAAACTGAATGACACAAAAGTTCACTAAATTTCTCTGTCACTCTAGGAATTGGCAAAGTGTAGTGGTTATGCAGACCAATTGTACAGCCAATACTGGCAGGGTTCAGATACTGCCCCAATACTGATCTCGGTCTTTCCACTACACAGTTGGTCTATTGATTGTTAAATTCTTGTCAAATCATGCCAGGCTACCTATTCTCACCAATGGATGAGGATGTATAAACTTTGGAATCCTCTTAAACTCGTCTCTGAATTCCTTTCCCTATCAAGTGAATTTCCAAGCTTCCTTGCACAGGTCTCTTGTACACACCCTTTCCTTTTCATTCCCTTGGTACTGGCCTCACCACCGTGCCTTTAGTCTCTCACACTCCAATTTATCCTCTACATTGCTGTTTGATGCATATTCCAAAAACGTTGTATCAGATGCTCTATAGTGCCTATAGGATAAAGTCCAGAAAAAGGTGGCTTTTCAGAGTTCTCCATCATCTGGCCCTAAATCTGTTCCCAGCCCTGTCTCTCACCATTGAGACTCTCTTTTAGTTAAATGGGCCAACTTTCTGACCTTCCTCAATTCCATGTATTTTCTTAAATAGTACCCACTTAGACTGCTTTCCTGCCTTCTTTCTACCTGTATTAGTTCTATCCATTATCCTCTTTGTAAAGACTTTACTAAACAATCTAACCTAGCTGTAACCGGTTTGGCTCAGTGGATAGAGCGTTGGCCTGTGGACTGAAAGGTCCCAAGTTCGATTCCGGTCAAAGGCATGTACCTTGGTTGCGGGCACATCCCCAGTAGAAGGTGTACAGGAGGCAGCTGATCGATTTTTCTCTGTCATCGATGTTTCTAACTCTCTATCTCTCTCCCTTCCTCTCTGTAAAAAATCAATAAAATATGTATTTTTAAAAAATCTAATCTAAATACCTATTCTTTTTTGGAAATTCTATAGCAATTAATAATTGTATATTTAACACACAGGGTTTTTTTTTGTTATCTTGAACTGATTTGAACATTAAGGCCATTTTACCTTTTACTTGTTAGTATATTGAATCAGTAAGCAGAGAGTGAGGCTGTAAGTGGGAGTGAGACGAAAGTGGGCTGGATCTAGTTTTTTTGTTTTTGGAAGGCTCACTCACTCTTGTCCCTGCAAGGACCTTCTTGGGTCCAGAGATTAGTTTATGTTAACTAACTTCATATAAGATTGAGGTGGACCCGTGAGTGCTGATTGTTAACTTGGAGTGTGAAATAGAACTATAATGTGGCCCCAAGACATAAACACCTTTTCATTTACAATGAGGAAGAGCTCCCCAAGGGACTGGAATAATCAAAATCCATATGATCAGTGTTCTCCCTCCAAATTTGAAAAAAAATTGGAATAAGTGAAATTAGATGAATTGAATATCTAATATCTATTGGCATCAGGCCATGACCCCATCTCATCAAAGAGATGGTCTTGGCACAGACATTGGAGAACTGAGTGCCTTAGGACAGGCTGCATGGACCCAGCCGACCTTCACTCCAGTGACCTTCCTTGGTCTAGGGGCCTTTAAGGCTAATTAGAAACCCCCTTTCAGATGGACCCATTCTTTCTTTATGTATACTAGTATTAATGTGTTCAAAATAATTATTCTCAGTTCCTGCCTGCCTAAAAGCAATTCTTTCTTCCTCAGTCTCTCTCAATCTTTCTGTGTGTTTCTCTTTCTGCCTCTGCCTTTCATTTTGTGTCTCTGGGTGTTTCAGTCATTTTCATAGCTCTACTCTGACTCATAACTTTTTGACTTGATGGTAGTGGGTATGTATTTCCTTAATTTTTAAATTTTGGGGCTCACCTCACTATAGTGTCTAAGCCAGCAGTTCTCAACCTGTGGGTTGCGACCCCTTTGGCGGTCAAATGACCCTTTCACAGGGGTCGCCTAAGACCATCCTGCATATCAGATATTTACATTATGATTCATAACAGTAGCAAAATTACAGTTATGAAGTAGCAACGAAAATAATTTTATGGTTGGGGTCACAACATGAGGAACTGTATTTAAAGGGCCAGAAGGTTGAGAACCACTGGCTAAGTACTAACAACAAATTGTAAGCTCCCTGAGGGTAGGGCTGATAGGTCAGTATGAGATGCAAAGCATAGCTTGTGCAGTACCCCGCAATACTTAGCAGGTCAAAGGTGCTCAGCAGTTATTTATTGATTCAACCTCTAACAAATTGTTGCTGTTTTCATTAAGGCCGATGTCATTGTCAACACTGTACCCACGGATCTTCAGCTTGGAAGAGGATCACTCTCTCAGTCTCTTTTGTGTAAAGCTGGTCCCATGCTCCAGAAAGAGTTAAATGCCACCAGACAGGAAACAGAGGAGGAAGTGGGTAGCATATTCATGACAAGTGGCTGCAATCTGAACTGCAAAGCTGTGCTCCATGTTGTGGCTCCAGACTGGGATAATGGAGCAGGGTCTTCTTGGCAGGTAGAAAAAGTCCTTAGTTCTCCATTTCATTTTATAAAATTGGTAAATCTCCTTGCATGGTATAGATCTGTGGTTCTCAACCAAAGCGAATTTATCTCACAGGGGAACATTTGGCCTGTTACAACTGCTACTGGTAGCTAGGGGTAGAGGCCAGGACTACTGCTAAATCCCCTACAAGGCATATGCCAGTCTCCACAACAAACAATTATCTGGCCCAGGTTGAGAAACCCTAACATGTACTTAACCCTGTCTATTTATTGAAATCTTTATTACCTTTCGTGTACCTTTTGTACATTTCAGATAATGACCCTTAAAAGTGATAGCAATCATTGGGATTCTCCAGAAATGGTATCTGAATATTAGATTAGCATAATAATCCTTCAGTATAACTAAGAAATGCAGCCAAAACTGTGGTGTAGAATGAAAAAGGGTCAGTGCCCTTCTTTTGATGACCTAATTCCCATCTCTATTCATAATTTAACCCCCACAACTTTTTTTTTCAGAATATAAAGTAATATGTGTACATTGCAGGAAATACACAGAAAGCACAAAAATAAAAATCATAATCCAGCCACGTAGAGATAACTTTAACATTTTACTGTATTACCTTCAATTCAGTTTTATGCATATTTATTTGTAGTTGATATATTCTTCCATTTTTAATACTGCCTTTTTTACATAACATAAACACTTGCCCATGTTATTTAAAACTCTTCATAAACATCAATTTTAATTACAATGAGATACTCATAACCATTTCCATACTGGTGGGCCCTCTCTCCTGCATGAGTTTGAATCTCTCTGAGAGTCCTCTCCCCTCTTCTTGGTTTCTCTTTCTGATCCCATAGGTCCTGACAAAGCCTAGGATAACAGAGAGGTCCTGGTCAGGGTTGCTGTAACCACAGTTTTTATGTTTTCTGCCAGCTTGAGCCCTAACTTATATAAACGCATTTTGTACATTTCAGATAATGGCAAATATAATCAAGAAATGTTTGATGACTGTAGAACAGCTATCTTTCTCATCAATCACATTTCCCATGATTGCAACAGGAAATCTGGGGTTTCCCAAAGCTGTATTTGCTGAACTAATCCTGTCAGAAGTGTCCAAATTTAGTAACAGTGCGTGGCTGAAAACCTTACAAAAAGTTTACTTTCTGGTACATCTCGATGATGATGAAAGCCATAAGGTATGGTTACATGTCTCTTCTGTTCATTCTGGCAAGCAAACCTAAGTGCAATCTGATGTCTTTGGTAGATGTATAAATAACAGCATTTTCTACTTCCTTGCCCATAAGTGTTGGTTGCCCATAGAAGTGTGGTCTTCCCATGAAATAATATAAGTCAGCACTGGTATTTAGGAAATTCCTAAATTGAATCATAACCCTTTGATTAAAAAGTCTCTGAAATAAGGAGAAAATCTATTGAGAACGATTGTTTCTGTTTGATGTTTGATTCTCCATGTTCCAAAAAACTGGGCTGATATTTCTACAGAGCATTGTTGTGGTCAGTAACTGTGTTTCTTTCTATCTAGGCATTTTTAGATAAATTCACTAGATGGTCGAGTGGAAATCCCAACAAGGAGAAGATTCTCATGGTTGGAAATACCCAAGGTCTGGCTGGTCAAGTTGTTCTGCTGGGGCAGTATTTCCCTTTGCTTAGTAACTCTTTGGTGTTAGTTGAAGTCCCATAGAAAGAGACAAATTCCCGTGAAGAACAAATCAGTAATGGAGAAAGTGTCAGTGCATTCCAAAGAATAGATCATATTGTTGTGAGTGAAATCACTGGTAATGAGGCCAGAATTTCTAAGATCCTATATAATAAAAAGCTAATATGCAAATTGACCGAACAGCAGAATGCCTGGTCGCTATTATGCACACTGACCACCAGGGGGCAGATGCTCAACGCAGGAGCTGCCCCCTAGTGGTCAATTTGCTCTTACAGAGGGAGTGCCACTCAGCCAGAAGCCGGGCTCACGGCAGGCGAGCGCAGCCCAGGCTGAGGGATCTCCCCCTCCCCCACAAGTGCATGAATTTTGTCCACCGGGCCTCTAATATGATATTAAAAGATAACTGAAATTTGCATGGCACACTAAACTTCACTGATTGCTTTCATATGTATTATATTATTTAAACTTATACCATGGCCCCATGGGCAGGTGATTGGTTCTGTTGCCATTGTATAAATGTGGAAACGGAGGTCTAAAGAGTTTATGGCATTAGTTGAAATGGCACATCTAAGTTGTAAAGCCTCAGAGTGTAGAGTGGACAGTGATATGTCAACATGCTAAAGGTAATTTTCCCAGAGCAGTCTTGATATTGCTATTCCAGTGGGATATGAAGGGGGAGGAAAAGCTCATGTTGATTAGTGAGCTGTTGTTTAACGTTGAACAAATGACCTAGCCACTCTGACCATTTTTCCTTTTTGTAAAATGGTAATAAGAGGATCTCCCAACTTTCAGTTATAAGATGAATAAACTCTGGAGACCTAATATATATCATGGGGAATACACTTAATAATAATGTATCAAATACTTGAAATTTTCTAAGAGAGTGGATCTCAAAGGTTCTCAACACACACACACACACACACACACACACACACACACACACACACACACACACGACAGCTGTGTGAGAATGGGTGTGTTAATCAGCTCAATTGTGGCATCATTTCACAATGAAAACTGACAATCCACACCTTAAATATATACAATTTTTGTTTGTCGACCATATATCAATAAAGCTGAAAAATAAAAAAAGGAATCTCCCAGAAATGTCAGCATGAAATGAGAGTATACTTTGCTCTCTCACCTTCTTTCTCACTCCTGACACCACAGCAACTTTTGCAGACAAATAGATGGTCAATCAGATGTTTCTGCCTCATCCTATTTAACTGGGAAAATGTAGATATTCCTACTGCTACAAAGCATTGTTTTCTGATTTCCTTAAAAAAGAACACCCAGCTGCTTAATAGACTAGGAGACATGGTAATGTTTGGATTTATTTAGAGGGGAAAGGAAGAGAGCAGAGACCCTTCGTGTTTTTCCTGCAGAAGCCAGCTGCTCCTTCATCCATCTTCTTTCTTTTCAGGTATCTTTGGGACTGTCACTTGCTCTTGGCCCACAGAGTGTGAAATGAAAATTGGTGCAATTACTTTCCAGGTTGCTATTGGAGATATCGCAAAAGAAAGTGCAGATGTTATTGTAAACTCAACAACAAGGATGTTTAACCTGAAATCAGGTACTTCATTTAAGTTATATACTTGATTGTAGCTATTAATACAACTAATTTCTGGAAGGGAAATGGTGGCTAATATTTCCCTGAGTAGACAGAGAGGTGTGTAGTAAATATGCAGGCCTTGGAATCAGAAAGAGCTGGCTTTGAATCCAGGCTGTGCCACTTACCATCTTGTGGCCTTGGACAAATCACTTAACCTCTCTGAGCTGGACTTTCTCTGCCTGTCAAATGCCTACTCCCAAAGAAGCATAGATGGGGTATAAGTGATGTAAAGGTGGGGTGTACCTAGTGCATTATACTTACTGTCAGCTCTCATCCCCTTCTTAGCTCTGAACTATCAAAATTACACACTTACAATTTAATCAGCTTTAAGTTCTTCTATTAAATTGTAAGTGTGTAATTTTCCCCTTTTTATGTTGGTACTCACATCTCACCTCCCATAACTGTTCTCTATACTATACTGACCCAAATGAAATTCAACCTCTTTTTCTTAATTTTCCCTAAAATATTTGACCAGCCCCTTTGATATAACACTTTTGAGCATGCCCTTGCCACATGTCTATTTATTTATAACTTATATACATTGCTCATATGCTGATACATCTTTTATGCTGAGACTATAAAACACTAATTTTTAAATTAAAAGGGCAAGATAAAACATAGAGTGGCTGGCTGTGTGGGAAGAGATCAACCAAAGAACTTGTATGTATAGATATACATAACCCATGGACATAGACAGTAACATGGTAAAGGCCTGGGGTGGGGGACCAGGGCAAGCTAGAAGGGGTCAATGGGGGAAAATGGGGACATATGTAATACTTTCAACAGTAAAGATTTAAACATTTTTTAATATTTTCTACATCTCAAAATATTATGGAACTTACCATGCAGAAGTGAATCTGTAGAATGTCCATTCAAAAAAAATTTTTTTTTGTTAATCCTCACCCAAGGATATTTTTCTATTGATCTTTTAGAGAGAGTGGAAGAGAGAGGGAAAGACAGAGAGAAACATCGATGTGAGAGAAACACATCAATTGGTTGCCTCCTGCGGGTGCCCTGACCAGGGCCTGGGCCAGGGAGGAGCCTGCAACCAACGTGCCTTGACTGGGATCCTTTGGTCTGTAGGCCGACACTCTATCCACTGAGCCAAACAGGCTAGGACTCCATTCAATTTTTTAAAAGCCATAAAGAACATTCAATTATTTAAAACATAGTAAATTGCATGTATGCATTTATTTTTCCCCCCCTCTTGAAACTCTGACAGAGCAACTGTAAAGGAATTAAAAGGGTATAAACCCACAGAGAAAGAGAGTTGGAGGGAAAACAACAGTAAACAGAGATAGCAACATATTTTCACAAGATGGGAAGCAGCTAGCTAGTGGAGGTAGCTGACAGAATGGAGAACACTTAGTACCTGCAGGAGAGAACAGCAGCCCCTAGAAACACAGGAACTGGAGGCAGCAGGAACCTGGGAAGGCAGGGGATAAAAAGAGGTAAAAATGGAATTGGATGGAATTCTGAATCAGTAGCACTTAGACCTTTGATGCTATCCCCCATCCTGTGCAGCAGTAACTTCCTTTGCTCTTTCCTAACCAGAGATGGGAGGTGTAATTTTTTTAGAGACACTGAACCAGAGAGCTTTCCAGACTTAGCACACTGGGAACAGGTGAGATGAGGATGGGGAGCTAGACTGAAAACAGGGTTTCAGTGAGGTGTCTGTATTGAATAGTGAGTGCCCAGCCCCTATCCCTGTGGGGCTCTCAGAGTAGCAGATGGGCTTATGCCCCACACATAGGAGATGGGAGTGAACCTGACCATCCTAAAGGCCAGTAGTTACTGCCTGCTCACCTTACACTGAAGCCTATCAGTCAGCAAGCCTCCTGCACATGGAGCTTCCAAAATCACTCTTACATATGAATGGAGTGACAAATGTCACCTATTTGAGAAAAACCTCCACCATTGCAAAGTCAGAGACCAAAACAAACAAACTGAAAAAAGGAGATGTTTTAAAAGAGACAATTCATAATCAAGGAGATATGGGTAGATAGGTAGATAGATAGATAGATGATAGATAGATAGATAGATAGATAGATAGATAGATAGATAGATAATAGATAAATAGATCAATATATTGATAAAATAACTAACATTTATTCAGTACTTTCTGTGTGCTAGATTCTGTGCTAAGTATTTTTCATCCATTACCTCTTTCAATGTTCAACAGCCCTGTAGGAAAAGTACTATGCCAGCCTTTGTGTAACAGATGAGTAGATAGATAGATAGATGATAGATAGATAGATAGATAGATAGATAGATAGATAGATAGATAGATAATAGATCAATAGATCTTCATGATGATAAAATAACTAACATTTATTCAGTACTTTCTGTGTGCTAGATTCTGTGCTAAGTATTTTTCATCCATTACCTCTTTCAATGTTCAACAGCCCTGTAGGAAAAGTACTATGCCAGCCTTTGTGTAACAGATGAGGAACTGACTAGTCACCTATTAGCTAGTAAGTGGTGGAGTCAGCGCCAACCCAGTGTGTCAAAATGCAAAGACCATGTTTTCAACCATGAACCCACCTGTCCTTAGACGTGACCAAGGTGGTGAGGCTGCAGCCTTGATCGGAAGATTCACTGGACTGAAGCCAGCCAACTCTCTGTCTAATTGTGAAAAACCCAGCCAAACAAAATGAAATAACAAAATCAAAGAACTTTAGTAAATTGCTCAGGGTTATTATAGTTTTGAGATCCATGCTTCTCATTCGTATCAGAACTTTTATTTTAATATTTTTATTCAATTTTGTAAAATAGTAAGCATAGAATGCAAAAAAAAAAAAAAGAAAGAAAACTTAAATAACTGCAGAAATATCCCAGTAAAGCTGCAGACACTGGAGACTTTCAGCTATTGGGCAGTGCCCT